ATACCACGAACTACGTCCGGTGGAAACATCTGCAGAAGAGACTGAAGCCTCCAGCCTTCCCCCCAAGGATCAATAAGCTCGACCACCTTTGGATCACTCCTTTCCGGGATGAAAAGGGGATTACAATGCCGAGGGTAAGGATGTGAACACGGGGCCCAGTTGGAATGCTGGATAGATGCCTGAAGGTCATTTCCAATATGTCATCACATTCCTCGTTGAAGAAGGAGACGGTCATGGAGAATACTCTATCATCCCCGAGATGAGCCAGATGTCGCGGTCGCTGTTTGGAAAGTGCATGTCAGAAAGTATTTCCCTTTATAAATCAGGGATAGGAGGGACTCTGATTCGTTAAGAATCCTCCATCCAATCTTAGTTAGGAGGGCCTGATTAAAATGCTCGAACCGCCGAAATCCCATCCCCCATCATGTTTGCTTGTGCATAAGTTCCGTCAGGAAATCCATCGAACCCGAGGGCGACCCTCTTCAACTCCCCACCAAAATCGGGCCACATGTTTATCCAGAAGACGACAAATGAAGAAAGGGAGTTTGAAACAGGACATAATATGAAGTGGCAGAGAAAATGCAATGTATTTAATCAACATTTCATTTGTAGCAATTTAGGTAATTTTACTATGTATAAAATGCATAACAAATCGTTCGAATGTACTATTAAACTTTGTTATTTCAATTTTAGTTTGGATTTATATATTGATCGATCGTTTAAAAAGGTGTTCTAATATTTTGTCTTAAATTTGGTAATATTAACATAAAGTATCCGAAGAGTAGTTAGTATAAAATGTAAGTATAAAATACATTCGAGTGTTTTATTTCGTCTCTAAACTAGTGGTACATTTAATAGTACGTCAATAGTTTTAAAACATAAAATTAATATATAAAATAAATAATTAACTTAGCAATTAAATTCATTAAATACAGATACTAAACATATTATACGGCTTTTATATGTGTTTAATAAGGGAACCATAAAAAAATGAAACAATTTAACAATAATACGAATACAAAAAATTTAAACCGATAAAATGTATACGTGTATTAAACGAGTATTTAATATTTTCCCACTAACTAACCGAGTTAAAACTCTTGGAATTGAAAAGTGGTAAATGAACTGAAAATTAGTATTTCAATAAAAAAATAGTGATTCTAATAATAATTTACATTACTCCAGCCAATCATGAGGCGCCATGTGGTGGGGAGCCTGCAACAGCAACGTCGCCACAGCCAAATCGCCCGGTCACCGTGATGGTACTGCTGTATATGTGAATTGCATTCCCGCTCTTCAACGAACTTCTCCTTTTCAATTTTGAGAAATCAAATTACCTCCTCCTGCCTGCAATACCTCCTCCTGCCTGCAAGAAACCTTGCTCAAGAAAATGGCGAGGCAGGTTCAGTTGCTCCTGAACCTCGCCAGAAAGCCTTCCACTTCACCTCCTACACTTCTTTTCCCCACCTTTGATCCTCTTCCTCGTCTGGGCCATTCTACTAAGCGCCGAATTGTTCCCACTTACGATCCTGCTCCTCCTCGTCCTGAAAATTCTACTGAGTCTGAGTGCCGGCGAACACTTCCCGCCTCCGATCCTGCTCCTCCTCGTCCTGAAAATTCTACTGAGTGCTGGCGAACTCTTCCCGCCTCCGATCCTGCTCCTCCTCGTCCTGAAAATTCTACTGAGTGCCGGCGAACTCTTCCCGCCTCCGATCCTCGTCCGTCACCACTTGTAGTTCTGGATCCGAAATCATTTGGGGAAGCCATTGCTGATAAAATTCTTGGTCAGATGAAGCAATGGAGAAAAGAAGATAAAGATTCAGCGAGGGTAAACACCACAATTGCCTTCGTCGGATTCTTCGCTGTTGTATATCAGCTGTGGAAGGATTATAGTGCTTGGATGGAGAAGAAGGAGGAAGAATCGCCCACATTGAAACAACAATCTGAGACGTTCAAGATGGCAGAGACCCGGAAGACGTCAGACGGGGAGCTGAAGGTGTTTGCGGCGGAAACCGACGAGGATTCGGAGAGCTCTCCGGTGAAAACCCAGAAGACGTCGAAGGGTTTTCCGGTGGAAACCCAGAAACCGGAAGAGGAATTGAAGCGATTTCCGGTGGAAACTCAGGAGCCGGAAGAGGAATTGAAAGGGGCTGCCGCGAAAATCCAGAAGAATCTGGAAGAGGAACTGAAGGAGCCTGCCGCAAAAACTCAGAAGTCAGATGATGAATTGAAGGGAGGCTCTGAGGTAAAAACCCAGAAGAAGAAGCGTCTTGTGGTGATGGGAATGATCGGCACGGCGGTACTCTTCACGATTCTGTATCTGCGGAAGAAAGAGTAGAGAAAGTGACGGAGGAGTAAGAAGACGAGGGTAGCATGGTCTTTGGTTTGTTTCTTGACTTTCTTTCCTCATGTACAAACGAAATATTCTTTGAATTGATTGATAAATCATAAACGGGATTCTCCATTTTGACCTTACTCTGTTTTCTTACTTTTTCTGCATTTTCTCCCAATTCTTCCCTCTCAAACCCTTACCGCCCCGGACTTCTTGAGCTCACTCTCGCTCAATTAGTTTCTCCACCACCGCCGAAATCCGTCGCCTCCTCTCCCGCCCACAATTCCTCTTCCAATTGACGTTCGCTGGCCTTGTTCTTGGCTCTGCTCCGTCGATGAGGAGGTTAGGGGTAACGAGTAGGGTGGTGGGTGAATTTCACCCTGTTAAATGTTAATGAGATGCAGAGAAGAGAGTCTGCTGCTACTGCTTCCAATGCAGTTAAGATATACAGTTCATGTTAGTTAGGTGATTGAGCTACCGTTTTCAGATAATTCCATTATTGGTAACTGGAATTGTGCCCAGATTGTACTTCTGCCGTGTGGTTGTGAACAGTCAGTGTACGTGGAGAGAACAGGTAAATGCTTGATCATAAACTTCAAGTGTTCATGGAAGACACTGTATGAGATTGTGGAACAAGATAACAGTATCTTTCCTACTTCCTGCGATGGTAAGCTATAATTTGTGTCAACTTCATTATCTGTTAGAACTTGTGGGTTGATTTTCAATTCTGGTTCAGAACTTGTTTATTCATTGTTTAAAATCCAGTTCCAGACCCTTTGCCCACTTTTTGAACTATTGAGATGACAAGATTCCCTTGCATGATATCAGAGTTTTGATGTTTGAAAGTTCTCATGTTCGAAATCTTTATCAACCTTATTAGCAGTACTTCCTTGTGAGTTACCATGTATCTTGGTAGGTTTTCCTAGCAACTCGAATTAGGGGTATGATTGATCTGAACTGAACTGAATTGTTCAAATTGTGGGTCCTCAGAGGAGATCCCTTACTCTGAAAGATCCTAAAAAGTATGAATTCCGTCATAGGAAGCTATTTAAGCAGGTTAGCTTAACCTGTTCAGTTTGTCCAAACCCATAAACTTGAAAGGCTACTAGCTAGCACACCTGTTTGTAGTCTTATACTAGTTATATTCATTAACGAATGCAAATACAAAGATAAAACTTAAAAGGCTTTAGCTATCGAGCCTTTTTAGTTAGTCCTAACCCATAAACACCGCCTCGTTGTGAAATGTATTCAGGGTCCAACTCCAACAAATTCTATTAATGGTGGTCATGGGAGTGAAGGTTTGTTCGTGTTAAACAGGTCTCCTGTTGTTGCTGCGGTTTCTGGCTGATAATCAATCCCTGTCTAACTTTAACATTTAAGTGCTAGGAACTTTGAAATGGTAATACCATACCGTGGATACTGGCATTGTAGGGTCTAGTGAAATGATTTTGCCACAAGCATATTCCAAACAAGGATACTTTTGTTAGCTTAGACAATGAGAATGATGAGGTTCATCCACAAAGTATCTACTTCATAAGCAAGATCTTAGCGGGGATGAAGACTGCTCTCTAGCATTGCAAGATTGTTGAAAAAGATGTTTTGTTTATTCAGTTACCAGGGAAATTGGTTTGAAATTATCAGATAGCCAACTTCTTGGCTTGAAGTGATATTAGACCTCTGGTTCCATGATGTCTCAAGAGTTTGCGTAATTATGATCGACTGGTTGTACGGCGATGACAATTTGAGAATAGCGCCATTCATACTATATAGGTTTCTGAGGTTCTGCCCATAAAGCTTCAGCCTTTTCCTCATATGTCAAGTAAAAAAGTGGTGCTATGATTTGCCTACTTTAGCTGTGCTGTTTTCTTTTCAGTCGAATCAAAAAACATGAACAAATTTTGTAAAGAAATAGAATTCAGCTGAGTTATACCATGGTGTGTTGGCCAAACACGAAAATTGGCTTTAGTAACATCGTCAGTTCTCAGCTGTACACTGGCTTTTTGTCACTCTCTTCTACATACTTGCTTCCAATTGATGTTTGAAATTGATTGTCTGAACTTCTCTTTCATGTGGGCATTTATTTAAACATCACTTATCCATTTTCAAAAGCTTGTTGCATCCTTCCTCTGTGACCTTTGTGCCTCAGACTTTAAGAACAACCAACCAATTAGGATATCACCCTCAGCTCAGATTTATGTTATGCTGATAAACCTTACGAAATTTGGAGTCGTATGTGGAATTATCTCGAGTCTATCTAGTTCCTAGTAGCTTAGATGTAGTTATATTTGGTTGTGTTGAGCTTTATAATTTAATGTTAGTTATTATATAAGATTGTACTTGATGTAAGCCTCATAGAGCACAGCTATTGGTTGGTTATATATATAACATCTGAAAATTTATCTAGTTTTACTGTCAATTTCTTTGGAAAATAAAATTTTAAATTGAAGTAGTAAGTATAATTTCTTTGGAAAAACATCTGCAAACCTAAGACATTTCTGTTTTCTGAGTCAGTTTCAATTCTCAGCATTTACTTTATTGTGAGCCAACAAATTATTATTGTTTCCAGTTCCTGTTCAGCCCTCAATTCTTCCCTGTTTTGACAGTGATACCAAGAGGGACTGAACTGGTTGAGAGGCTGGTTGTTGCTTAGAAACCAACTGTAAGTGAGATGGTGAACATGAGACAACTCACCATTAGCTACAATGCTTATGTTCTTCTTAAGATGGATCATCGTAAATTACAGCTCCACCAACATTTCTCCCCTAGCATCAGTGGGTTGTTCACAGCTAGTAACTCAAGCACTTGCCTAACACATTCTCTTGCCATATCATCCCAGTGGGTTGATGAGGCTGTAGTAAGCAGACTTGAATACAACATGCAGCAACTCTGCTCTGGAACTTCTAATTTCGGGCAAGGGAAGCAAGTTCATGCACAGTGCATACTCCATGGATTACTTGACAATGGGGTGCTGGGGCCAAAGATTTTGAGGATGTATATTCTCTGTGACAGCTTCAGGGATGCTGTCTAAATGTTTTATCACGTCCCTTCACATTATACCATGATTTGGAATTGGATGATCAGAGGACTTAATAACCTGGGTCGCTTTGATTTGGTCTTACTATTCTACTTCAAAATGTGGACTTCTGGTGTTTCTCCGGATAAATACACATTCCCTTCTGTAGTGTGAGCCTGTGGTGGGTTGAACAATGTTGCACTGGCCAAATTAATTCAAGATGATGTTTTAGTCGTGCGTTTTGACTGGATATGCACATGGGTAGCTCGTTAGTGAAGTTATGTGCTGAGAATGCGCATCTGCAGGATGCTTGTCTACTGTTCGATAGAATGTCTCAAAAAGATTGTGGTCTGTGGAACGTGATGCTTAGCAGTTTCGCAAAATATGGGCAGTCAGGTAGACCACTGAAAGCATTCAGTGAGATACAAAATTCGGGTATAATACCCATTGCAGTTATGTTTGCTTGCGCTCTTTCTGTCTGCTCAGCAGATGCAATGATTCGATTTGGCTCTTTGATTCATGGACTTGTGTTACTTATGGGTTACAGTTCGATCCTCATGTTGCAAATACACTAGTCTCCGTGCATTCTAAATGCAGATGGTTGGCTGATGCACGCAAACTGTTTGATAATATGTTTCAAACTGATTTGGTTAAGTGGAACTGCATGATGGCTGGACTGGTGCAACATGGGTTTATGGAAGAAGGTTCAAATTTGCTTAAGGAGATGATATCTGCAGGCGTTAAACCAGACGGACGGACATTTGCAACTTTTCTTCCATCAGTTGCAGACTCCATGAGTTTCACACTTGGAAAGGAAATTCATGGCTATATACTTAGGCATGGTATAAGTTTGGACGTCTTCTTGAAAAGTGCACTTATTGACATCTACTGTAAGTGTAGGAATGTGGAAATGGCGTACAGATTTATAGCCAAAGCAGCAGCATTGATCTGGTAATGTCCATGGCTATGATCTCAGGGTACGTGCTAAATGGCAAGGCCAATAGTGCTTTAGAAGTGTTTAGGTGGTTTCTTCAGGAGAAAATGAGTCCAAACTCCCTCACCATGGCAATCATCTTTACCTGCATGTGCCAGCCTAGCGGCTCTGAAACTGGGCGTGGAATTGCATGGCAAAATCCTGAAGAATGGGCCAGTATTAGAAGGTAATGTTCATTTAGAAAGTGCTGTTATGGACATGTATGCAAAATGTGGAAGGTTGGATCTTGCTCACCAAAATTTCAGAAGAATGCATGTAAAAGATGCTGTTTGTTGGAACTCCATAATTACTAGCTGTACCCAGAACAGCAAACCAGCAGAGGCCATAGAACTGTTCCGGCAAATGGGAAAGGAATAAGGACTAACATATAACCGAATAAGCATCTCTGCTGCTTTATCCACTTGCACAGACTTGTCCTAACTCCAATACGAGGATATACACACCGTTTTACTCACGAGCAGGGAGGGGTTACGGTGATTACTACAAATGTAGTAATCACCGTGGTTACTAAGGGTAAATTGGGCATGAAAAATAAATTATATTAATTAATTTTTTTAATAAATTAGATTTTAGGTAATTACAAAAATCTATTAATTACAATTCATTCTCTTTCTCTCATTTCCGTAATCTACAGCCAGATCTTCTTTCCATATTTTTCTCAATCTTTCTGCAAAAAAATAAAAAACACGAAATCACTATCAATCCATTAGACAGCCACTACCACTTTGAAAAACATCAATACCATTGCAAAAATAAATCTATACCATTGCATGAAAACTACCAATATAAAAAAGTTATACCATTACAAAAGTCAAACAAATACCAAAACAACCAATACCACTACTATTGTGAGACCAAAACAATACCATTGCACAAATAAAGTGATACCATTATACTAAAACTACCAATACAAACAATCTATACCATTACAAGAGTCAACCAATACCAAAATCAATCAATATAACTACTATTGTGAAATCAAAACAATACCATTGCAGAAATAAATCAATATCATTATGAAAAACAAACTATACCATCTCATAAACAAAGCAATGAACTAATACCAAAACAAAAAAATTACCAGATCTAGGTTTTCATGTCTACTATAACTATGGTTGTATTTGTATATAATTCTTAGGGCTGCTGGGACATGGTTCCAATATGGCTGCTACTGTACTCTGTACCCACCAAAATCATATCTGGGTATGTATGTTGTGATGGAGAGAGAGCAGCGGGAGGGAGATGGAGAGAGAGCAGTAGGAGGGCACCGACACAGAGGGGAGGTTGGCCGCTGCGTGGCCGAGGGTGGCGGGCACGGAGTCATTGCCGGGGGGTGGCCGCCACGGAGTCATCGCCGGGGCTGCGGCCGACAGGATTAGTGCGACGGGAGTGGTGGAGGCGACCGCGTCGGGTTTGGCTGGAGGGAGGGTAGAATTAGGGTTTGGGTAGATTATATAGAATAATCAGGTGTGGTCACTTTTTCATTTCCAAAATTGCCCTAAAAGAATCTTGACCGTAAGATTAAAAAAGAAGGAAAAATAATTAATCAAATGGTATATAAAGAGGTTGCCACCATGATTACTAAAAAATAAGTAATCACCCTAACCCATTCCCTCGCGAGCACAGTTGATTATGATTTGTTTGCCCAAAGACCAAAGTGCATTGATCGACATGTATCATGCCAAATGTGGTAACTTGAAACTCGCTCGGTGCACGTTCGACAACGGGAAAATAAAAATGAGATAGGAAGATTAGGGTTTGGAAAGCTTTTTTAATATTCTTATTATTCATTATTATGGAACTACAAAGTACACTTATATAGGTAGAAATAGGAAACCCTAATAATAAATTTAATTCTACTAAAAGACGATTACTACTACCACTACTACTACTAATAATAATAATAAAAGAAATCGATTTCCATCATTCCCTCCTTCTTGAAACCAACATTGCCCTCAAGGTTGATAACTTGATCCATTATTGCCTCTTTCTCACGCAATTCGCATGTCGACTGCTCAATTTCTTGTGTTTCTTTTTCTTTCAATTCTCTCCGCCTCTTCATTGAGACACCTTGCTTTGTCGGATCCTATGGAACAGCTCTCTTCCTCCAAGTTAATAAACTCACCCTCAGTATCTAACAATCGTAGCCCATTTTTCTTCCAAAAGTCCCAATTAAATTATTGGGCCCAAACTCTATCGGATGGGAGAGAAGGGGTCATATAGTTTGTATTGCCAATCTTGTCCCCATACGAGCTAGTCCATCATCGAATGACCCGTTTTATAACGCAACTCTTTGGCCCACTAGATTGTTGCAAATGCGCTTTAGGGAAGGAGAGACTTGGCTGCTCACATGGATGAGGGTCACCATCGCCGCCTTCGGTCCGCTTCTCATCCCCCGGCAACGGCCATTTCACCAGGTTGAGGAAAGGTAAGCCCATTGACCCGCCACTCACCTCCGACTCTAACTCCAACTCCTGCTTCATCTTCTTGGTGACTAACGCTGCCATTGGAACCGTAGTCCTTGGCATGCCCAGGATGGCCATGCGACTTACCGGATCTGTCTTCCTTTCAAGTATCTAAGAGTTCCGCCGGTCGCTAGGAGGATTTTAGCCAGCTTCTGGCCTTCTCAGCTTCTCCTTGATGGTGATTCCTTCCGGAACCGTCACCTTCGCCTCCGTGCCAGCACCCGCGTAAGCTGGAATCTCCTCCTCCGCCTCTGCCATCGCCGCGGAAACGATGTCATTCGGCCATGTCTTGGGTCCCATTCCCGTCCGAACTTATGCAAGGGCAACCGTCGAGCTGCCAACCGTCGTCGTCTTCCTCTTGCCCTAGATGGCTTCGAGAGTCGCCTCCAGCTAGTCCAACAGTTCCTTAACGGTGAGTTTTGATGTACTCATCAAGCTCTTTTTTTACAAGGGTGATATAGGGTTTATATTTTTTATTAAGGTACTATTTAAGAGATTCGAACATCTACTCATCGGGCTCATATTGATAGGAAGCTAACCCTGGTTAAGAGTTGTGACGAACTCGCTCTCGGAAATAGGCTCTGATACCAAATGATAGGAACAAAGTTCCTATCAGGTTTGATATTTGGGAATTAGGTTCGTACAAACAGAATTAGGGATTGAGATTGGGATTTGGGAAAGAAGAAGAGAAGAATCGGTCTAGGCCTTAAAGGGATTGATAACAAGAATTGAGAGGATAAGGAGATTAGGGTTTGGAAGGCTTTTTCTTAATATTCTTCTTATTCATTATTATGAAACCACAAAGTACACTTATATAGGAAGAGATAGGAAACCCCTAATAATAAACCTAATTATACTAAAATATTACTAATAATAATCCTAATAATAATAAGGAGATCGGTTTCCATCACATCATTGTTGCTTATGCTAAACACGGTTGTCTGGATGAGACTCTACTTTGTTCCATGGGATGTTGGAAATTGGCATTCATCCTGACGATGTCAATTTCTTGTTGTAATATCCGTAACTCATTCTAACTACAACATCCCAATTGACGGCCAAGTATAATCGCCGATCGGGTGCAGCATAGGGCAAGCAAGCAATAAAAATTTATCGTACCACGGGGATCTAGGCTTACCCTACTTCAGGTTTAGGGTTCGTTATCTAGCCAACCTAGGATAGTGATTAGAAAAACTAAGCTAACTAACCTAGACTAACCCCTAACCTAGCTATTTACAAGGTTGGGAGCTCTCTTGGGTTAAATCCCTCTATTTCCGACCTTTGGATCGATGCTGAGTATCCTCCTAGCTCGATCGACTCAAATACACTACCGTTTAGAGATGGACTCCCTCGGGAATGACCCTGAACGGCGAATTGATGGATGGGTAGGTGCTCTATTCAACCTAGCGTTTCATATATTGCAAGGAGACCAATGAAATCAACTCCCTCGAGGACTACCTGGACAATATACGATAGGAGTGACCCGAAGACGCCTAAAAGGGGCTCTAAGGGGATTATCTCCCTCCTAGGTCAAAAGTTCAAGACATGAAAATGAAATCAAAACTCATGCCATCCATTAAAACATCCATCAATTAGATAAAATCATCAATCAAACTAGTAAGTTGTCACATCCATCAACAACAAACCAAAATCTAGACCTAGGGTTCTTAATCCCAAGAGAAGAGGGTGACTTTCTAGAGAGAGAGAGAGAGGGAGAGATTACAAAGAAACCTTTAGATCTTCATCTTCTTCTTCTAGGCTTGATTCCTAGCTTCCAAGCTTGATCAATACCTTCAATTAAGCCCCAAGATCACTCCCTCTCTCACTAGAACTCCCCTTTGGTGTTTTGAGTTGAAACCATAGAGAAAGAAAGTGTTCCTTCTCTAAAACTAGCTCTCTTTTCTCTCTCCCCGCTGCTGTCTTCATATTTGCTCGAAAGTGACCAGTTCACGGCCGCGTTGGCCAGTTCACGGCCGTGAACACCTAAACGCGTCCGTGAACTCAGTGTCTTCTCCAAAATGCACCGCTTCACTCTCATGGGTTCACGGTTTGTGCTCCAAGTTCATGGTCTTAGAGACCGTGAACTGCCTGGTCGTCAGTAACGTCTGAAACCTCGCTGGATGCCTCGCTGTTCACGGTTACGGGGCAATTGTCACGGTCTTTTTGTCACTTTTTGACCTCCAATCGTCCCAAAATTCGTCCTCGACCTTCCCACACGTGCTAGGACATGAAATGTGTCAAAACAAGCACAACCTAGAGTGAAATATGTCGAGGGACGATGAAATGCAAATTCAAACTATCAAGATATGAGGGGTAAAATGTGTACAATTGGACCCGAATCAATCTGCTTGTCAGCATGCTGGCCAAGTAGACGATGGAATTCTACTTCCGTTACATGACTGAAGAATTTAAGATCTCTCCTAAGATGGAACATTATGCTTGCCTAGTAGATATGTTTGGTCGTGCTAGTGAGTTGAATGAAGATATGGTATCATAAAGAGCATGCCTTTCCAACCTTATGCCGGTGTTTGGGGCACATTGCCTGGTGCCTCCCGCATCCATGGAAATGTTGAACTTGCTAAAGTAGCTTCAAGTTAGCTGATTGAGTTAGATCCAAACAATTCGGGATACTACATACTCCTTGCAAATTTTCATGCTAAACTATTGTTCAAAAGTTTCAAAGGTTGCGATGTTAGAAAGAAATT